AATCAGAATAACTGGAAAGAAGAAACTAGAATTTTCAATTTGTCTTATAAGTGAAATATGATGAATAGATCTTTATGTTTAAAGTTGAGACAATTATTGAACAAAGCTTAAGAAACTGAGATGGTAATTATAATAAATCTCGCACCGTGTTTATTAAGATTGGAAGGGGAAACTAAGATTTCTGGTTTTAATATTGTCTAAGTTCATGGTTGATTTTCTTTTAAGACCTTGGCAATGGGCATACTGTGCTTCAATATATTTTTTAATGTAATACAAACCAAATTATTGCTATAGGTTACTGTAAACCTGGGCCTTAAAATGGATGGCCATCTTTTCATGTTTAATTGAAATAGGTGTAATTGGGGGGAAAATTACACTCAGATGTTAAAAGCCCCAACATGAAATATTTCTAGTTGGAAAAAAAAAAGAACCACAAAGAAAATATTTATTAACAATTTGGCTGCCTGCTCTTGCTTTCACATCATTCCCTTTCCGGACCCTCTTCCGTTTCAAGTGCTTTGTGTCCTCTGATATGTTGACAAATAACATGTAGCCTTCTAGTTCCAAAACCAAACTGTCTTGTTATTCAGATAAATTCTTACAGAAGGACTGGCCCATGAACACTGCCTGCTTGATAGCTCCCAAAGTTCTTCCTTCCTCTCCCAGTCCTTTGAAATGCTGTGCAGATTCCTGTCTAGAGCACGAACTCCCTCTGTCTCCTGTATTTTGGTGCCTATTCAGCCAGAAGAAATTTGATTATCTAGGAATGAGCAAACTTTGAGAAACTATCTGGAGAAGCAGGCCTTCATAGGACTTCAGATATTAAATGGGGATGCATCTGCTGGATTAATGCTAAGAGCACAATACTGTTTTTATGTGTGTGTGTGTGTGTGGGCAAATATTTATCTTTGCAAGTGAATTATATGCTCCAGGATGCAGGTGCAAAAGAAGATATGTCACTACTTGGGATCAAGGCTTTGTTGGGCCAGACTGTGGCCTCAACACTGCATTTTCATGTACCATGTCTGTGATTCTTTGTCTCCTGAGTCATCACAACGGCTATGCCAAAATCAGTGGTAGTTTCCAATAATTCTTTCAATCGCTTTCTCTAAGCACAAAAGAAGAGGCCCTTTTGCTTACTCTGACTCTAAATGAATTTACTGGCTCCTTTACTGGGATGCTGACAAAGGAGTCATTTTCTGGTCTTTGTGCTCCTTTTACTCATGCAGTTTATAAATCAATTTATACCCTGGTCTTGGGACATACAGGGTAAGCATGGGATGCAAGTGCATCCCTGCTGAGAAGCCGAGGGATTCTATAGGCTTTATATCCCCAGGTCCCACTGAGATTTACCTGGGACACAGGACGATTTCTAGAAACCTCTGAAGTGCCTGAGTTAATGCTTTCAACATAGAGGAAATCTTACCTGGCTTTTCAGAATTTATCAATGTTTTCAGGCCCCTCTGGCTTTTCAGGTGTGACATTTTGGAATTATCCCATTGCTCTGGTGTTTTTTTTCCCACCTCTCCTAGTGAGACAGAGTGATGTCTGCCTGCATTTGGCTGAAATGCTGTTTCTCAGATTGCCCAGGTGGTGGCAGATTTGGAGGATGTTAATCAGACTTTTCAACCTGTTTTGCGGTGAAGACAAGTTGTTTCCCACATGGGTTAAAGATACCCTTTTCACAAATTGTTACTTTTTCATACATCTGAAGCCAATTAAATAGCTTCCATTTAAAATAGAAAATCTCTGCTTTTGAGTACAATCAGTCTTTAACACAATTGTTATCTGCTGTTATACTTCTTGGCAAATCTTTGTGAAATCAAAGTTCAATGACTAGATTTGCTGGGGAAGGGCTTTTGTCTACTTATTTAAGCTAATGAAGTGCTATTAATTTAGAATGTGTGTGTTGAATTGTACCATGCAGAAAATCCACAGATTGGGCATCCCAAAGTTTCTGGTGGGTCAGGACTTGCTCCTAGAAGGAAGTATCTGTCCATTGGTGCTGGGAATGCTCCCTGAGGCTTTTAAATAAAAACCCCTCACATAGCCACACAATATCCCAGCCTCACTCCTTGTTTCTTGAAGGCAGAATTTCCATTTTTCAGCATTTTCACCCTCTTCCTGCTGCTAAAGTGTATTCAAGTCTGCAAGGTTCTTATATCCTTTATTAATATTTCTATAGATTTTAGGGGAGTACCAGCAAATCAAGTGCCACAAGGCTTTGGGGCAGGGGCAGGGGGGGTTAGCAGAAAGGATGACTGTGATAGTTTGACTTCTTGCTTAATACATGCCAAGGAACTTCTTTGTATTAGCTCTTTCTTCAAACCCAGTAGCTAATCTGTTACTGCTGTAGTAATTGCCAGAGTGAAAAATAACAGGTGAATGTTTTGAATGTCTGTAGTTTTATGCAGTGTTCCCTGGTTTATGCTTCTGTGGGTTATGTTAGCCGTTTCAACCCAGCATCACCATTATGTTGGTATGCTTATGTTCTGCCGATACTCACCATGGCTTTTGAAGTCTTTTACTGAGTCTGTGCTTCCCATGATAGATTCTTCTATCCTGTAAATGTGGTTTACAATCACCAAAAATCAAACCCTTTGCATTTGAGAAATTATTTTCATTATTCTTCCTTGAAAAACAAGAAAATCCTCAAAACCAGGGAGCCTGCCAAACTCTAAAATGCATCTACAATATACTACCAAAGCCAAAATGCACGGAATAAAAATAAATGTGGCAAATCATGCTTTAATCCTAATCTTAAACACCTTTGATGCTTTTCCAATTGTTTGTACATTACAATTTTTGAAGTGTTTTTAATTAGCATTCTTGGCATCCTAAATTATTCAAATAGCCAGCCTGTGCATAGCTATGCTTTGTCTAATTTCTTAGTTTCCTTGGGAATATGGTAAGCTTTTTTTGTCCTGTATGATTTTGGAAAGCTGAAATTTGGGCTGTATTCAATTACAAAATGGTGAAAACATGCAATAAATCATGCTAGAGTTTATTAAATATGAAAGTGCTTTCCATTTGAGGGAATTGCTTTAATGCTAATCCAGACTGCAAGTTGTTTGTGGCGGGATCACCATTCCATTTTGTATTTGTACAGGACCAAAGTACAGTTACGTCTCAGTCCAGTACAGGGTCACCAAGAAGCTATTATAATACAAATATAGTACAATAATAGATCTCCACCTGCTGGTTTTTCTCATACATTACAGCTAAAATTAAACCACTAAATTTTAAGAGGGGAAAGATACTTTGACCTTATCTTCTGCTTCTTCATTTTAGGAAGGAAAAGACTGTACATAATATTCAAGTTGATAAATTTGTTATCCTCTGGAGATCTGACAGAGCTGCCACTGACATCCTGAGCATCTGCATGTTCCAAATAGCTCTGCACTGCTGAGATGGAAAAGCAACCAGTTCAACTTTTCATCAGGGAAGATAATGAGTTACAATGCAGTTTTGTCTCTGTCTTCTATTTAGGCTCTGTGTAAGCAAAGAGTAAATACACAGGTCTTTCCCTTGCTGTTGTTTTAAGCTTTATGTGAGTAGAAATATAACGCTTTGTAGGTTACAGCAGGAGAGTCTGGTGGTTGTACTTGCAGGATTATTAGGGTTCCTAAGATGACTACTGAAAAGGGGCCTTGCCCTACAACTGGCCATAATTGACACAGCTGGGCAATAAGGCTTTTAAATATCCCAATAGATTTTCTTTTAATAAGTTTTAAATTAAAATATTTAATTGCAAATAAAGTTTCTATCAAGTTACTATCAATAACTATTTGTATGTCACTCTTGAATTGGTTCTCTAACAGATCAGTCATGATCTCTACTGACACAGTGGCTGCTTTATTTTTCCCCTAGTAGGTGTTCACCTTTCAAAAAGAAAGGAGGAATTAGAATTCCTTAGCTTTTTCACTGAGGATAAGGAGAATAAGAGATGTGGTAGAAAGGGAGTGGCACTTAACTCTTGTACCTTTTGCAAGCAAATACAATTATATTTTATGCTTTAACTTAGTTTTTGGAGTTATGGGATTATATATGACTCTGATATAATGAAAAAGACAGCAAATATTTATTTTTCTAAAAACTATTTCAACAAAACTGAAATAGTTTTTGGGACTGTATCAGCTTTGACAGATTTTAATGATCTTTTGGAAAGGAACAGCCATTTAAAGCAAACAATATTCTGTTATAATGTGCATGCAGAGGTTGTTTCCTCAGACAAATGGAAAGATGCAGCCCACCTTGCTCTCTGAGCTCTTGATCTGTGTGCAGATGGTATGGAAATAAAGGCAAGTGAAAAATAAGAGAGGATATCCCAGGATAAAGCAGAACTATGGTGCAATTTAAGCTGTAGAAAAGGCCAGCTTGTAGAAAAACTGCGGGTGGAGCTCCTTATCCAGGGAACCCTGGAAGGGAAGGTGCAGAGCCAGAGTTGCTTCTTCTGCCCTTCTGCGCTGCGAGCCTGCAGCACTGTATTTGCAGCATGTGTTAGTCTATAAAACACCACCCATCCAGGCACGCATTGGAAGAAGTATGGGCTGTTGAGGAGGTGTGACTAATTCACGGAGTTGAGTACAGCACCCAGCTCAGGGCTGTGATGCTTCACAGCATGTTTCCTGCTGGTGAAGGAGCCCGAGGGCAGGGGAGAGGCATTAAAGGTGCCCTGAGGAGAAACACTGCCAGGTAGTTTCTGAAGCTCCATATGAAAGGGTGACCACTGGTGATGTCTGCTATTTCTGAGCTCTTGAGTTTCAGAGCCCTCTCTTTGCCACGGTAGCTGCTGTGTGTCGTCCATCACGACAAGGTAGATCTTCCTCTTTGCTTTCCCTCCTCACCTTGGTAAGCTGCACCCCACCAGGCACAAAAGCCCGTCGAAAGAAGCCAGCGCTTCTACTGGGGCAACACTATCCATCCTCAAAGAAGGAGCAGAGCCCCTCTGAGGCTCTGTGCCCTGCAGGTGACGAGTACGACAGTCCTCCCTCACCGCGATGAACCCAGCGAATGAACCTGCCCGGAGCCTACGGTAATGGAACCACAGAGTCACCAGAGAGCACCCAGGCCCCATGCTGGGACAATTAACGAACCCCCCAACCCCACGCCGTATTTTGAGGAGGTGTCGATACCGAAGGGCAAACCTGAGGGGTGCCTGGCGAGCAGAGAACAGCTATGGCGCCTT